TAGGATTTAGGGATTCGTTTATCAAACAGTCCAAGTGGAAACAAGCAAAAATGTGTTCACTTTAATATGTCTTCTGATGCATGTAAGAGGAAAAACAAATCAGTGTGGGATTTTTGCAAAGTGCATTTCTATCATTTCCCTCTAATGAGAAAGTGAAACAAGAGACCTTAACATGCCTCCCTGGAGAACCTCATAATTTATAAAGAATATCCTTCGGCGAAGCACTTACCCATAAATGGACAGCCTGGACCGTCAGTGTTCCAGGGAACACATTCGGGCCCTGTGGAACACTGGCCATTTTTCTAGTTCAGGTATCAGAGAGAAAGAGGGAAGCGTTACCCAAAAAGCTGCGTTTGGGGTTTCCCGTCTCCCTGCTGTGTTGCCTGAGAGAGGTTTAAGGGCACTGCTCCATCAGGGCAGAAAGAAGTGGATTTAACCCAGAGCCAACCACGATGGTTTGTCTCAAGAAAGAAGCAGCCAATTAGGAGCGATGCAACTGGTTCCGAGACTTGTATGGAATGTGGAAGAAGGCCCTGGAAGGTGGGGGGGAGGGGCAGAAATGGAAAGAACCCAGCTATTAACACAGTGAGCAGGACAAAGCATACTCGAGGTGTGGCCTGAGCCCCCTCCAACAGCAGTAACCACCGTCAAGAAAACTGTTACCAAAGAGGCTTGACAAGTACACACCCCTGAGGTTAACCATTGGTCAGTCAACCACAGTCCCCAAGGAACCACAGCACAGCACGGCTGGGTTATTTGTATCTATTTCTAATAGCACAAGCTACGGCCCTACCACAAGAATAAACAGCTCTATCAAAAAGTCTTGCCAAGGCTGGCATTGGGCCTAATTGTCAGGATACCAGTTAATATCAAGATATCCCTGTCTGCGTCTGGGTTCAACACCTGACTCCAGCACCTGACTTGAGCTTCCCGCTAGTGTAGACCCTGGGAGGCAGCAGGTGACGGCACAAGTACCAAGCTCCTGCCACTCACGTAAGAGACCTGGATGGAGTTCGGGGCTCCTGGCTTCAGCTTGGCTCAGCCCCGGCGGTTGAGGGCCTCTGGGGAGTAAACCAGTGGCTAGAAGGCCTCTCCCTCTAGCAAATAAAACAAAAATAAATAAATAATTTTTAAAGGTCTTATCAAGAGAAAAACTATATTAATTATGCATTTGGGCAACTTGGGTTCTAGTCCCAAATGCTAAAGTGAAAAATTCATGTAACATTTTTTTTTACTAACTTTACATTCTTCTCATTTTAATTGACTCCTTCCTCTCTCCTTCTGGTTTCCACATGCTGCCAAAATGATGTAAAATCCTTGGAACGCACAGTTCCTCATTCTCCGTGATACTGTCCTCAGAGACAGGTGAGGCATTAGGACAGAGCCGCCAGTCAAGGTTGTAGGTAATTCTATCTTGCCTATTGTTGGGAAAAAATGATTTCAATTTGCCAGAGCCCTGGGTCCCTTACCTGGAAATTACCTATTAATCTCTGGGACAGGCATTTAGCCTAACAGTTAAGTTGCCCGGGTCCTGAGTCTGCGTGCCGGAACTCAGCTCCCGGCCCTAGGCTTCCTGCTAATGCAGACCCTGGGAGGCAGAGGGGATGGCTCAGGTCCTCAGGTTCCTGTCACCTAGGTAGAGACCTGGACTGAGATCTTGGCTCCTTCCAGGTTTCTGCCCAGCCCAGTGTGGAATGTTGCTTAGGGACTGAACCAGTGCATGGGAGATCTCTCTCTCTCTCTCTCTCTCTCTCTCTCTCTCACACACACACACACACACACACACACACACACCATCTTTGTCTTTCAAATATTTTTTTCGAAGATCATAACTAGGATGGTGATGCACACACACCTTATTGAGATATAATTCACATATCATACAAGTCACCAAGAAAGTTTCCAACCCAGCGGTTTTTAGTATATTCAGCGCTGTGACATAATCACAATGATCCATTGTAGAAGAGACACAACTTTTCAATCTTCCAACTCCTCATTGAAAATCAAGGCCCAGAGGAGTTCATGCCACATTCCCAAGGTCACACAGCTGCTCCGTGGTAGAGCCAGGCCTGAAACCCTGGGAGTCATTTAGCCACTGACGTCACCCGGGACTCCCTCCGCCCTGCCCCCCTGGGAAAGCTCTGGATGAGTTAAACCCCAACTGTAAAACGCTGCCTGGGCAGAACATCTGGCCTCTTTTATTAGCGTGCGTGCTCTGATTACATTAAACTCTGATTTCTCCACCAACTCTGTTGCATCGCAAGATGTCTTAGAAGGACTTCGAGAATGGATTAAAAATGTATCTGTTGGGCATGTTAGCCACCAGAGGCAGTGAGCACGCCCAGAGAACACCTGTGATCCCTTGTTTTCAGATAAGGTCTCAGCTCTTACAGAAGGGAGGAGAGGGCCGGCGCCGCGGCTCACTAGGCTAATTCTCCGCCTGCGGCGCTGGCACACCGGGTTCTAGTCCCGGTCGGGGCGCCGGATTCTTTCCCTGTTGCTCCTCTTCCAGTCCAGCTCTCTGCTGTGGCCTGGGAAGGCAGTGGAGGATGGCCCAGGTCCTTGTGCCCTGCACCTACATAGGAGACCAGGAGGAAGCACCTGGCTCCTGGCTTCGGATTGGCGCAGCACCGGCCGTGGCGGCCATTTAGGGAGTGAGCCAAAGGAAGACCTTTCTCTATGTCTCTCTCCCTCAATGTCTAACTCTGCCTGTCAAAAAAAAAAAAGGGGGGGGGGAGGAGAGGAAGGGGCCCAACTACCCTCTGTGAGTTTCCTTTTCAGTGGGCTATGAGTAGCTATACCAAACGCCTCACCCCCAGTAACTTCCAAGGGGTCGGATACCTCTGAGATTGGCTCCTGTGAGCCTATATCCAGAAAATTTTCCAAAGCAGATGTGCATCCCTGCCAGTGCTAAGGGAGCCAGAGACCCATGCCCAGCCGGCGGGGACCCTGGCCCTGTCCTGTCCACTGTGGAGTGCAGTTTCCTGTCTGCCCAAGCTAAGAGCACGCCTCAAAGCGCTTGTTGATTGCTCCTGCCATTAACACTGTAACACTCGCTGGCCCTGGGTTTCCACGACACTCATCTTTCTCTCTCCTGTATTCTGCCAGCTCCTTCCTCCTTGAATTGCTCTCCCTCCAAATTTCATTCATTCAACAAACATTTACTGAGTGGTCGCTGCTCACCCATTACTGGGCTAAACACTGTCTAGAAGTCTGAGCCTGTAATTAACCCACTGCATTTTTTTTTTCAGTGTCCTCTATGCTTCCATTTTGAAATCTCTATTTAGGCTGAAAATTCTAAAAAAATTTGTAGCACCAGTCTTGGCCTCACCCCGAGCCCTAGGCCGGGACGGTGACATCTGACCTTCCCAAATGCCCAAATCCAGGAGGAAACCACCGTCCACGCCCTCACTCAACCGGCCCCTCCTCTGGACCTTAAGTCCTGCCCAGTGCCCCTGTCCGCCCAGCGCCTCCAACCGGACACTGGCCATCACCAGGCCTCCTGGAAGGGGTGTGGGTGCGGGGGCAGCAGCGCATCTCAGCCGGGGACTGAAGCTAGAACAGAATGCTCCAAATTCTAGCCGCTTTTCACCGGCCAGTTCGTGGGAGAAGCAGGTGAAGACCTCATCACTAATGTACATTCCAAACAAAATCTTTCTACCTGGGTTCCAGCAAAATTGGAGCGGGGACAGGGGCTGGGAGTGGGCGGAGCAACAAACCCAGCAGTGCTGGTGATGAGCGGGTTTTGCAAGGCGAGCGTCTCCAACAACTGGAAGCACCTGCCATGTCGAACACACACACACACACACACACACACGCCTGTTTTCCTGCCTCCTCTGCTCCGAAGACCCTTCTTTTGCCCCTCCCACTCCGTGGTCATTCTTAAGAGCGCACCACTTCTTCCGGGAAGCCCTCCCTGACGCCGCTGCGGCGCCGTCTGCGTCTCTGGAGATGTGTCTGGCCCTGTTTGTTTACGCGCGTGTCTCCTGTCCCCACGGCTGACGGTCAGCTCCCCAGCCCCTGGGCCAAAGCAAGCGAAGACGGCAGGGAGCCGAAGGGCGGCCACGCAGAGCCGGGCCCGGGGGTGCGCGGCGCAGACCAGCGGGGTCCACTTGGAGGCGCGCGCGGAGAGCGCGGTGGGGCCCAGCCCCGCGCCCGGAGCGCCGCAGCCCGGGAGGCGCCGGAGCAAGCAAGGCAGCCCGTGGGCAGCAGGACGTGCCCCCCCATTCCGGGATGCTCCCACCCGAGAGACTGGGGGCTTGAGCGAGGTCCCGGAGGCACCGCACTCCCAGTCCCTGGTGCGCCCGGGAAAGCCTCCAGGCCTCCCCACGCGCACTCTCTCTCCCGCGCCCCAGATCCTGCGGACGCCTCGCGCCCTCCCTGGGGGACCCTCTGCGACCTCCAGGGTCGGGCCGGGGGTCTGGGCTGCGAACGAGGAGGCGCCGGGGAGCCAAGGAGACAGCCAGCGGCCCCTCACCCACTTGGCGCGCCCGGAGGCGGGAAGAAATGGAGCTGCGAGAGAGCCCCCCTCCCAAGAGGAGCGGGAGCCCCAGAGGCCTGGCAGCTTCGGTGCCTCGGCCTCCCCAGTCCAGGCACCCCCCACCCCCACCCCTACCTGGCTGGCTTTGTGGAACTGCTTCTTCAGCCCGGCCACCGACATCGCGACTGCGCCTGGCCCGAGCCGGGTGGTGGTCTCGGGGCTCAGCCGGGCCACGCGGCCGCGACGCGCGGGGAGAGCGGGCGGCCGGGCCGGTCCCGGCGCCGCTGGGCTCCGCCGGGCCCGCCTCCCACGGCCACGGCCACGGCCACAGCCGCTGTCACACTCGCACACACGCGCGCACGCAGATGGCAACACGGTGCTCAGAGGCCTCTGCGCAGCCCATTGGCCAAGCCGCGGCGGTATGCAAATGAGGCCGCAGGGGCCGCCCACGCTTCATTGTTGCGTGGAGACCCCGAGGGCTGGAGCGGCCGGGAGGCAGGCCTGGCGTGGGGCTGTCTCTGGGGTGGGAGGAGCAGAGCCACGCCGGGCGTCGTGCGGCGCGCGGGCGGGATGCTTCTGCTTGGAGATTGTCTTGGGTTGGGGGTTGGGGGTTAGGGGTTGGTGATGGGGATCGCCTCTGTGAGCTCCTGGGGCTTGGTGCGAAACCCGCTTGCTCAGAGCAACGTCGCCGCCCTCCGGCGCGTTTTTGGAAGCAGAAGAAGAGGGTGGGGAATGCAACCAGGCTGGGGGACCTGCTGCAGGACCAAGGGCGCTGGGCGGCCCGGCTGCGTGCAATTTGCTGGAACGATTTTGGCCATCTGGGAACCCTGGAGTTCCGGGGTCATGTCTGTTTTAAGAAGTACGAGCTGGTGCGTTCGGTGGCCAGGGGCGTTTCCCGGGACACCGTCCTCTTGGCTCCCTTGCTAGCCCCCACCGGTGTGTCAGAGGCCCAGCGGGGACTCCGGAGCAATGCGTGGACCCAAGGCCAGCCTAGTCCCTGAACGTGGCCTCCAAGGGCCTGAGGGCTCACAGGTCCCACTGCTGGCAAGGCCTCCTGCCTCTGTCTGGACTCTCGCTGGCCCCTGTTGGCCCTGGACCCTGCGGGGGTTGCAGCTGTGCCTGGAGCCCACTCCGCTCTAACTGTCCCCGGGCAGGAGCAGAGTCCTCGTCCCTGGCCGCCTCCTTGGGAGGACTGAGCAAGTCACTGCCAGTTTCTGCCCCAGTGCCCTCACCTCGGCTTGGAAGGTGAGGGTCGGGGCCCCCAGTGTTCTTCCTCTGGTAGGGGGGAAAGTGGGTGAACTTGGGGTGGACTTGGGTGAACCCCGACGCCGTCCACTGCTTCACTCCCCAGATGCCTGCAGTCGCCAGGGCTGGGCTGAAACTGAGGTCTGGGAACTCACTCCAGGTCTCCCAGGTGGGTAGCAAGAACCCAGCCACCTTAGCCATCACCCTGCCTCCCAGGGTGTGCATTAGCAGGAAGCCAGAATTGTGGGCTGAACCCAGACACTGAAACGGGATGTGTCATCTAAACCGCTAGGTCCAGCACTCACCCCTAAACTTACCTCTTCATTGCATTTTCCACAAACTTGTTGAAGTGCCTTGTACCTGTGTTATATGTGCTGACCAAACCAGGTACGTTAGCATTTCCAGCTCCTTGTATTTTTTTGTTTGTTTGTTTGACAGCTATACAGTGAGTGAGAGAGAGAGAGAGAGAGAGAGAGAGAGAGAGAGAGACAGGTCTTTCCTCTGTTGGTTCTCCCCCCAGATGGCCACTACAGCGCTGATCTGAAGTCAGGAGTCAGGTGCTTCCTCCTGGTCTCCCATGCGGGTGCAAGGCCCAAGCACTTGGGTCATCCTTCACTGCACTCCCGGGCCACAGCAGAGAGCTAGACCGGAAGAGCAGCAACCGGGACTGGATCCCGGCGCCCATATGGGATGCTGGCGCCGCAGGCGGAGGATTAACCAGGTGAGCCACGGCATCGGCCCCTCCTTGTATTTTTCTACAGCAGCTGAAGGCATTCCTTCCATGGTTGGTAGGATATTCAAGAGTCCTGCTTCAGTCATTCTGGGTCATGTATCTCTTTAATTTAATCAAGCATAGAACTGGAGATCCTATTTGCATAATTTTTAACTTCAGAATTTTTCATTTACATTTTTTTCCTTTGTAAAAGTAGTTGTGTTTTTTCTTTTTCAGTGATGAGACTCATGGAGGTTTGCCAATCGTACTGGTTTTTGAAAGCAGGTTTGCAATTTGCTCAGCAGTGATTCGGATTCTTTTCTCTCCTTAATTCTTACTGTTTTAAGGTTTATTTATGTTTGAACGACAGAGTTACAGATAGATGGAGAGAGAGAGAGAGAGAGAATGAGAATGAGAGAATATCTCCCATCTGCTGGATCACTTCCCAAAGCCAAGAGTGTGGAACTCCGTCTGGGTTTCCCACGTGGATGCAGGGGCCCAAGCACTTGGGTCATCTTCTGCTGCTTTCCCAGGTGCATCAGCAGGGTGCTGGATTGGAAGTGGAGCAGCCAGTTCCAGCATCCATTTAGGATACAGGCATTGCAGGCATTGGCTTACCCCCTGTACCACAACACAGGCTCGAAATTCATTCTTTATTCTTGTACATTCCTTCTTTCTGTTTTGCTTAGAAGACCAGTCAGGGGTTGAGGTCATTAACAACAGAAACCAAGTCTAATTAACATAGGCTGGGGGCCAGCACTGTGGCCTGGTGGGTTAAGCTGCATCCTGCAGTGCTAGCATCCCACATTGTGCTGGTTCAAGTCCCAGCTGCTCCATTTCTGATCCAGCTCTCTGCTAATGCACCTGGGAAAGCAGAGGAAGATGGCCCAAGGCCCTGGGTCCCTGCACCCATGTGGGAGACCTGAAAGAAGCTCTTAGCTCTGAGCTTTGGCCTGGCACAGCCCTAGCCATTGAGGCCATTTGGGGAGTAAACCAGTGGATGGAAGATCTCCCTCTCTCTGCCTCTACCTCTCCTTCTCTGTAACTCTGACGTTCAAATACATAAAAATAAATAAGTAAATACTTTTTAAAAATATTACCTAAAAAAGAGCAATGACAAATGCCCGCTATGGTCTGCATCTTCTTAAGCTCTGTATTTGAATATGTGGTTTATTTATTTTTATTCACTCAAATTTTATAATTAAGCACATATAAGACAATTTGGCTCATCAGTATGGCTTTGGTATCAAATGCTGTTTTCCTAAGTACTATAGATTTTTGGATTATTTTCCAAACTTGTAATTATTTTTCCTTTAAATAGATCCTTATTTAAATACTTGAAAAATATTTCTTTATTTGAAAAATAAAGAAAGTAGATCTTATTTGACAGAGAGAATGAGAGAGACAGAGAAAGAAAGAGATCTTTCATCAGCTGGTTCATTCCCAAAATGGCCACTGTAGCCTGGAACTCCCTCCTGGCCTCCCTCCCATATGCTGAAAGGGGTCCAAGCACTTGGCCATCCTCTGCTGCTTTCCCAGGTGCATTGGCAGGGAGCTGGATCAGAAATGGAGCAGCTGGGACTCGAACCAGCGCTCTGATATGGAATGCTGACATCGCGGGAGGTGGCTTTCCCTGCTGTGCCACAATGCCAGCCCCATATTTATGATTGCTTCCTCTTTGATCCAGAGTTATCCAGGACAGTGTTTCAAAGTCTTTCTAGGTATTTTTATTTTAAAAAATCATTACACAAGAGTACTTCAAAAAGTTCATTGAAAATGAAATTAAAATATAGGTTTACGGGCAGGCATTTGGCACAGCCATTAAGTTGCCACTTACAACTTACAATCCCTACATCCCATAACGTCCTGGGTACTCCGCTTCCAATCCAGCTTCCTGCTAATGTGCCAACAAGGGATGGCTCCAGGACCTGGGTCCCTGACACCCACATGGGAAACTCAGATTGAGTCCTGGGCTCCTGGCTTCCGCCTGGCCCAGCCCCGCTGTTGTGGCCACTTGAGGTGGGAACCAGCAGATACACGTTCTCTCTCTCATCTCTCTCACTACTCTTCCTTCCCTCCTCCTCTCCCTCCTTCTCTCTTTCTCCATTTTAAAATTAATAAGCACTTTAAAATAATCATTCCTTAAAAATATGTCTGTTTTGGTGCAAAAAATTGCTGAAGCCCATGCATAATTTTTTCATAATCCGCATTTACCATGGCCTTTTAGAAGACCCCTCCTATGCATGGTTTTCTTTTTTTTTTTAAGATTTGTTTATTTATTTGAAAGTCAGAGTTACACAGAGAGAGAAGGAGAGGCAGAGAGCGAGAGAGAGAGAGAGGTCTTCCATCCAATGGTTCACTCCCCAGATGACCACAACGGCCAGAGCTGCGCTGATCCGAAGCCAGGAGCCAGGGGCTTCTTCCAGGTCTCCCACGTGGGTCCAGAGGCCCAAGGGCTTGGACCATCATCCACTGCTTTCCCAGGCCACAGCAGAGAGCTGGATGGGAAGTGGAGCTGCTGGGACTCGAACCAGTGCCCCAGGGGATGCTGGCACTGCAGGCAGCAGCTTTATCCGCTACACCACAGCGCTGGACCTGCATGGTTTTCAAAACTTCTTTTCTCCACTCTCTATGGACTTTTTCCTGGTGTGTTAAACTCTCTAGACTTGTGGTGCTATTATCAATAGTGTGTGTTGAGGGTTTCCTCTTATGGATACAGCCTGTTATGTACCCCAGAGGTGGCGGCACTGTGCGTTCTGTTTCGTGCTCACGGATTTCCAGTTCACTGCTGTTAGCAGGAGTGTGGGCTATACCACAGCTCCCAGCTCAGAGACTGGTTCAAGTTCAAGTCTCTGCTCACTGGAGCCACTCTGGCCAGTTCAAGGCTTCCCCATCACATCACCATCACCCCTTCAGTCCATCACGGGCTCCTGTGGTCAAGGGGAGCTGAGTGCCCTGTCCCAGATGACGCGACAGATGGGGTTCAGTGGGGGACAGGATCTTGCACACTGAGCTGAGTCCTTTCTGAGCCTTGGGGTGGCCTTCACAGCCCAATGACACGAGGGACGCCACGACTCCTCTGGTTTCTCTGCACGGGGCTTCACTTTCTGGCCAAGGTTTGGGGGTTCTCCTAGGCTCCATCTCCTGTGGCCCTTGGCTTGCTCCTCTCTGGGGAGCTGTGCTGTCCGGCATGGGCACCTTCCCATCTCATGCTCAGACCGGCTCCTGCGTCGGGTAGCATTTGTAGTTCTCACCCCTGGCTCTAGGTGAGGGACCCACATCTGTCCGTGTGGGAGGGACCAGACAAATCCTGGGTAGGGGTGTGGTGGAAGGGAGACATAGTGGTTAGTGTTTGCAAACATTTGCTTAGAGAGTATCTCCTCACTCAAGCCTTCTGAGCTGATTCAAATACTCTGTGTCCCAGTTCCCTAGTTCACTTGTCAGAAAACAGGGGCTCTGATCCTTGATGACGTCTGTTTCACCTTAGGTTTGTGGACTGTGCTGTCAGCATTTCAGTGCCTAGGGGGTTTTATGGTTGCCAGGCATGTCTTCCTTGTTGCCTGTTCCTTTTAGCTGTAGGAAAATACGTCTTGTCCTATTTATGGCTTTTTGCCTTTCATTCTGCTTTGTCACATCTGTATCCTGATGTGTCACTTGTATGTGCTTTATATGTATCCTGATGAGTCGTTTGTATGTGCTTTTTAAAGATTTACTTATTATTTATTTGAAAGGCAGAGTTAGAGAGAGAGAGAGAGAGATTGTCTATCTGCTAGTTCACTCCTCAAATGGCCTCAATGGCTGCGGCTGGGCCAGGCTGAAGCCAGGAGGCCAGGAATTCCATCCGGCTCTTCCACATGAGTGCAGGAACACAAGCACTTGGGCCATCATCTTCTGCTTTCCCAGGAGCATTAGCAGGGAGCTGGATCAGAAGCAGAGCAGCCAGGACTCAACCTGGCACTGGTGTAGGATGTCGGTGTTGCAGTCGGTGGCTCAACCCACTACACCACACCGCCAGCACGTGGTCCTTAATGTCTAACCTTGCACTTTGTTTAGGCATGTACTCCTCTATCCAGAATAAAATATAATTATGTTTATGAATCAAAATGTGCCTTTTCCTTTTCCTACAGAGATTTAAGCATGCTTGTTCATTATGAAAGGATGATTTGGTGTTAGTCATTTCATAGTATGTGATCTGATTTCCTTTACGGTTCTTTTTTTTTTTTTTTTTTTGTTTGTTTTGTTTTGACAGGCAGAGTGGACAGTGAGAGAGAGAGACAGAGAGAAAGGTCTTCCTTTGCCGTTGGTTCACTCTCCAATGGCGCCAACGCCGGCGCACCAACACTGATCCGATGGCAGGAGCCAGGTACTTCTCCTGGTCTCCCATGGGGTGCAGGGCCCAAGCACTTGGGCCATCCTCCACTGCACTCCCGGGCCACAGCAGAGAGCTGGCCTGGAAGAGGGGCAAACGGGACAGAATCCGGCGCCCCGACCGGGACTAGAATCCGGTGTGCCGGCGCCGCAAGGCGGAGGATTAGCCTAGTGAGCCACGGCACCGGCCTCCTTTACGGTTTCTTCTCCTATCATTATTATCTATTCTATTACCCAGCCTGTCATTGCTTTTTTTTTCCCCTCCTCCTTTGCTTTTGGATAGTATAGACACAATGTTTATTCAAGGACTGGTCACCATTGAACTACAAAATATTTGAATTTGTATTCTCTCTCGACATCAATCATGAGTCAGGGTGATGACCCGTCGACCAGGGCCACTGAGACCATCGCAGAAGCCTTGGACAAAGGCCCATAGAGCCCCAGTTTCTTCTGTCTGAAACAGCAAATGAACCGGCTGGAGACCGGGGCTCAGGGCTCTGGTCGTAATGACGGGAGGCAGAGATGAAAAGAAAACAATTCACACACATTTTGAGATGAAAGAATCACAAAACTGGTTTCAGTTCAGAATAAAGGTTTTCATATCCTTATATATATTTTTATTATGTAAATCAAAGAAAATTTGGAAACTATCAACAAGGAAAAGGATGGAAGAGTTTGACCTTTGGAGTCACGTTTGAAGCGACTACTCTCAATGTGTAGGCGTGTTTTTCTTTTATAGCATTTTTCCTGGGTAAAATGCAAGCACAATAGTGGGCCCGCACTTCAGAATGTTCATGGAAGGGCAAGAGTTTGGTTTGGTGGTTAAAACGCCCGCACTTCAGAATGTTCATGGAAGGGCAAGAGTTTGGTTTGGTGGTTAAAACGCCCAAGTCCCACAATGCAATGCCTGGATTCAGTTCCCAGTTCAAACTCTGGATTCCGGTTCTCCTGGTACTGTGGGTAGTGGTGATGGTTCAAGTTATTTCATTCCTGCTACCCACTTGGCAGATCTGGATGGAGTTCTCAGCTCTCAGTGTGGCCAAGTCCAAGCCTGGCTATTGAGGGAGTGAACCAGCAGATGAGAGTGTTATCTCTCCCCACCCCCCTTGCTTCTCAAGAAAAAAAGTTCATAGAAAATAGAATTAAGCAATTAAGTTTATTTCAGTGCAAAAAAATTTCAATCCTTGCATGGTTTCTTTTTTTTCTTTTTTCTTTTCTTTTCTTTTCTTTTCTTTTTTTTTCTTTTTTTTTTTTTTTTTTGACAGGCAGAGTGGACAGTGAGAGAGAGAGAGACAGAAAGAAAGGTCTTCCTTTTGCCATTGGTTCACCCTCCAATGGCTGCCACGGCTGGCACGCTGCGGCCAGCACACCGCACTGATCCGATGGCAGGAGCCAGGTGCTTCCCCTGGTCTCCCATGGGGTGCAGGGCCCAAGGACTTGGGCCATCCTCCACTGCACTCCCGGGCCACAGCAGAGAGCTGGCCTGGAAGAGGAGGAACCGGGAAAGAATCTGGCGCCCCGACCGGGACTAGAACCCGGTGTGCCGGCGCCACAAGGTAGAGGATTAGCCTATTGAGCCGCGGCGCCGGCCGCATGGTTTCTTCATAATATACTTTTTAAAGCTTTTTGAAGGTCCTCATATATGGATTTCAAATATTTTTTGCACCAAAATCAACTCATCTTTTAATTCCATTCCCCCACCAGCCTTTTGAAATACCCTCATATTTTAACTAAACAGACTGCATTTTCTTTGTGGTTCTCTAAATTACATGAACATTTTGCATATTGTCTGGTCTTCATAAGCATATTTTTCATGACAACTTAAACCAATTGTGTAGATATAGCAAACCGCATGTGTCCATTTGCCAGTATCACACACTTAAAGTTTCTATCCTGCCCCCCAATTTTGCATGGTTTAAATATTGTCACATTAAGCGTCATTTTCCCTGCTATGGTTTTGTTTCTGTATTGGAGAACAGTTCCTTAGGATGGACTCCGAGTTGTAAAATCCATGCATTTTAAGGACTTGGACAATTCTAAGGGCCAAGTGATGCATACACAAGGTACAGTTTTCATTGCTCCCCAGAGCATAACACAAGGTTGTTAGAGACAAGCCTCACTTTGTAAAAATGGGAAATGGAGCAAAGGAACATGGTTTTTGCCTTCCATTTGCCTCGTGGTGAATTCTGTGTCCTTAAAAATCCCATCACCCAGGACTGGCACCTAGGCCCAGCGGGTTAAGCTGCCACCTGTGATGCTGGCATCCTACAGGAGAGCACAGATTGAAGTCCTGGCTGCTCCACTTCCCATCAGCTCCCTGCTCACAAGCTGGGAAAGCAGTGGAGGGTGGCCCAAGTACCAAGTCCCTGCCTCCTGTGTGGGACACCCAGATGGAGTTCCAGGCTCTTGGCTCCATTCTGGCCCAGCCCCGTGGCCATTTCAGCCATTTGCAGAGCGAACCAGCAGATGGAAGACCTCTCTCTCTCTCTCTTTCTCCCTCCCTCCCTCCCTTTCAAATAAATAATAATTTCTTAAAAATTCCCATCATCCTGTGGTCTGAGGTCCAGATTACAGTTCTTGGCAGCAAGTCCCTGGAGAGCTGAATGCAAATACCAGCTTCACACATTAACCGCAAAAAATGTTCATTTAGCCACAACCTCTCGATTTCCAGCTCTGTCTGTCTCTTTTTCCTGGAACAGGCTGTCACAGAGACTCCTTCCACTGGAGGCATCCGGGACACTTGTGCATGGAAGAGCAAGGGAGGCCCCTGCACGGCACTTGTACAATGTGCAAGGCTTTAGGTGAGCCAGATCTGGAGGCAGTCTCTCCCTGCATGCACCATCCTCGTGTTCCTGGCCGCGGCATATAACTAGGAGCACAGTGCTGTCTGGATTTCCCTGGAACTATGCAGGCCTTCCCTTGGTGCATCTGGGGAAGCTGTGTGCCTGCCAATGAGGTCACAGAGCAGGCAGGATGAGTCCCAGATGTTGAACATGGCAATTTGCCTTGAACTTGCAAGATCACAACCAGGAACAAATGTATAGATTTTCCTCACTTATTGTTTTCACATGAAGCTGAGGGAAAATCAATGATCAGTGAAGAAAAAGACAGAGAGGATTTTTTTTTCCTTTTAAAATGCAGAGAAGACTGGGGGCGGTGCTGTGGCACAGCTGGTAAAGCCACAGCCTGCAGCATTAGCATCCCATGTGGGCACCAGTTCAAGTCGTGGCTGCTCCACTTCCCATCCACCTCCCTGCTCATGCGCCTGGGAAAGCAGCAGAAGATGACCCAAGTGCTTGGGCCCCTGCACCCACATAGGAGACTCCAAGAAAGCTCCCAGCCAGCTTCTGGCTTCAGATCAGCCCAGCTCTGGCCACTGAAGCCATTTGGGGGAGGGAACCAGCGGATGGAGGACCTCTCTTTCTCCTCTCCCTCTCCCTCTACCTCTCCCTCTCCTCTCTCTCTAACTCTGGCTTTAAAATAAATAAATAAATAAATAAATCTTTTTTAAAAAGTAGAGCAGCAAAAGGAAGGATTTGCATGTGTTTGAAATGAGGATTGGGTGAAGAACTTCATCTCAGTAGTACTGGTGAATATAATTAGTGAACAAAGGTATATTATTCTGGACTCTCTAAACAGTTTTGGCTCATGCCGTAATTCCAATTATCCTTAATTACACAGGTGTCATTTTACACTTACGTAGTCATCCCCAGAGGAATTATTTTTCACTTCTGATAAATAGATGCCTTAAATGTGTTTTGGGTGGTAGTTAGAGAAGCCTGGCAGGTGGCTTCATAAACTACTGCTGCCACCTAGTGGTGATACCAAGCTGTGAGCGACGTAAACCTGAAACCACCGGATGGTGGGTGCGACTGTGGTTCCAGGTTTTCAAGACGGCTTCGACGCAGCAGCTCATGTGCATGGTGCTGATGCCAACATGTTGCTGCAGTTCTTATTGCTAAGAGTCTGCACCAGGGCTGTTCCACCCCCATGGTGCCATTCAGTTAGGTAGAAGGATAAATTAATTACAGAAAGGCGTCAGGTGGCCTGGCAAGCATTTCAAGAAAAAGCAAGTGGCCAATAGCAGCCTGGACACCCCAGTCCCATCCCTTTCTATCTCTGCCCCATTTCTTCCTGTATTCCCTGCCGCAGCAACTTACCTGCCTGATATTTTAATGTAGATCTGGTTTTAAACGGTTTGCAATTTCTCTCCCATTCCTAGAATTGCATAAAAGCTCCCAGGCCGTGCTGTCTGGGAGAACCTCCTCTGATGTGCTGCAGCCCTGGTAACCAGGGTACGGGCATTTGGCCTTGCGGTTAAGCCAGGTTTGGGACACCCACGTTCCATATCGGAGTGCCCGGGTTAAAGTCCCGGTTCACTCCCAATGCCAATTGCTTGGTGAAGTGCGCCCTGGGAAGCAGCCATGATGGCTCAAGTAATTGAGTCCCCACCACTCACATAGGAGACCTGGATTGAGCTCCAGGCTCCTGGCCTGGCCTGGCCTGGCCCCAGTCATCAAAGACATTTGGGGAGTGAACTAGCAGGTGGGACCTCTCCTCTCTCGCTCGCTCTCTCGCTCTCTCTCTCTCTGTCTCTGTCTCCTGCTTTCTCACTCTCAGATAATTCTTTTTTTTTTTTTTTTTTACAGGCAGAGAGAAAGGTCTTCCTTTGCCGTTGGTTCACCCCCCAATGGCCACTGCGGCCGGTGTACCACGCTGATCCAAAGCCAGGTGCTCCCATGCGGGTGCAGGGCCCAAGCACCTGGGCCATCCTCCACTGCACTCCCTGGCCACAGCAGAGAGCTGGCCTGGAAGAGGGGCAACCGGGACAGAATCTGGCACCCCGACCTGGACTAGAACCCGGTGTGCCAGCACTGCTAGGCGGAGGATTAGCCTATTGAGCCGCGGTGCCGGCCTAGATAATTCTTTTTTAAAAATGCTGGTAACCACTAGCCAACTGTGACTGTCACTTTGAACACAGCCATTGAGGTTCTTCATTTCTCATTTTATTTCATTTTAAGGAATTCCAGTGTAAGAAGCCACATATGGCTCGTGGCTGCTGGGGTCGCCAGCACCGCTCCAGGAGGCAAGGGCCTGGCCTGCTTTATTCCCTGCAGCCTCCCCAACACCAGGAAGCAGCCTCCCCAACACCAGGGAGCAGCCTCCCCAACACCTGGACCCTGAGAGCTGCTCATTAATGGGTAAGCCAACAGCTTACTCAAGCAGGTGGAGTTAAAGGGTCAGGGAAACTTGAGGCCTCGCTGGTCCTCTTGCACATCCAAGATCGCGGGAACAGTGGTCCCTGTATTGTTGACTTCCACTGAATGTTGTGAGTTGACTGTGCAGCTAGGGGTTGGACAAATGGCTGGGGTGGGGGTGGGGGGTTGCCCAGATGGCCAGCAGAGGGGCAAGCACAGGAACGGGGTTTTCCCATGGGTACCTCTGGCCAGGAGTTCCCAGCTGTTCTAGAAGACCAGAGATTCCTGTCTGGCTGTGGCCTTGACCCTGATCTCGTGGGAGGATGGACGATGAGGTTGGACCTCCCTATGTTGTAAGCCATGGCAAAGCCTTGTTAAATGCGTTCGACATTCTTGTGAGTATCAATATGATGCCTGGCTTGATTCCTCTTCTGCCAGGGGCTGTGGAGAAGCCTGGGGGACCCCATTGTCCAGGGAGATGCTGTCCCTCCACACATCAGTCCAGGTTGTCCACGTTCTTCCGCCTGACTCCACTCCAGCCTCCAACTGGGACAAGCGCTCTAGCCGTGCCTGGGGTCCCCATCCTGCTTTAGGGGAAAATGTCAAATTCCTTCTATAGCCTGAGCTACACGAATACACCCAAGACACTGGCCCTTAAGGCTAAGAGGCAGTGCTTACTGGAGATGTCCTTCACTGAATTGGTCTAAGAAAACTCAGTAAACAGGGCTGAAGTTGCAGCAAAATGGGTTAAGCGACTGCTTGTGACATTGGCATCCCATGTCTAAGTGCTGGTTTGGGCCCCGGTTCCCAAGCTCCCTGCTAATGGACCGGAGAAGGCAGCAGGTGATGAACCAAGGACCTGGGCCCCTGCCACCCATGTGGGAGACCCGGATGGAGTTCTGGCTCTTAGATTCGGCCTAACACAGACTAGCTTCTGTGGCCTTTTAGGGAGTGAACCAGCAGATAGAAGATCTCTCTGTCTCTTTCTAACTCTGTCTTTCAAATAAATATATAAATCTTTTTTTAAAAAGGGGGTTTTTGGCAAAAACAATTTTGAAATATGTGCATAGTTTTTTTTTTTTTTTCCCACAGTACACATTTCTGTGAAATCTTATAGGCATGGACTTCAAAAATTTTTGTGGGGCCGGCGCTGTGGTATAGTGGGTAAAGCCGCTACCTGCGGTGCTGTAATCCCATATGGGCTCCGGTTCAAATCCTGCCTGCTCCTCTTCTGATCCAGCTCCCTGCTAGTGCACCTGGGAAAGCAGCAGAAGATGGCCCAAGTGCTTGGGTCCCTGTACCCATGTGGGAGACCCAGAAGAAGCTCCTGGCTCCTGGCTTGGGATCAGCTCAGCTCCAGCCATTGTGGCCATTTGGGGAGTGAACCAGTGGATGGAAGACCCCTTTCTGTCTCTCTGTCTCTCTCTTGTGTAATTTACATCAAAATCCACCTACCTGTTCTTTGCACTTTCCGGGACCTTTTTGAAGTGCCTTGTATTTTTCAAGCTGAGCCATTGCTGTTCTGATTATGGATGATAGGGGGCAGTAGAGGACCTCAACCTGAAAACAGAACTTGAACATGGACCCACGCAGGTCCATCGCTCTGGAACGCAGGCTTCACAGCCTTCAGTGTGCACTCGAATTCCCTGGTTGGCATGCAGGTTCTGACGCCCTGGTCTTCAGGAGGTCCTGGGGCCCGAGAGTCTGCATTTTCAGCAAGTTCCCAGATGCAGCTCCTGCCGCTGCCGCTGGTGGTCAGAAACCATGCTTCGAGAAGCAAGGATGTGAATGACAAGGCCTCCACGGTCTCACAGAGACCAGGGTGCAGCTTCTCCAGGTCACACACGCACCTCGTGTGAACACCAGGCATGCACAGCCACCAGCTCCTAGGCGCTGATAAGCTGACAGCGGGGACAAGAGCTAAACCCCAGGCAAGTCTTGCCGTCGGCCACAGGGGGTCCATTTTTCTCCCTTGAGGCTCAACATCTCTGCTTGTAAGCTTTAGAGGCTAATTGTGTGTTGTCACCCTAGCCCAGGTGGGTGTAGGATCCAAGACCAGATTCTACCCATAGAGTAGAAAGTGCCCCCAGCAGTGAAGCACGCATCAAGTGGCCAGAAGCCACCACTCATGGCTGGAAGCCACCACTCATGGCCCAAGGCCAAGGAGGAGCCTGGGTCTACAAGAAGGAAAACTTTGCAGCATGCGTGGGATGTGCCAGGTGCTCCGTGCACTGACACAGCAGCTATTTGAGATGTGTATGGCCAGCTTAGGGACGAGCAGATGGAGCTCAGAGAGATGGAGTGTCGCCAACCCGATGTGAGTGACCCACGTCTCATCCGGCCTGGTAGGGAACTGGGACTCGGATGCACTTGAGAATCCCTGGCTGTAACACACACTGGGATCTGTTCATAGCCACACCTATTTTTAGATCTTTTTTTTTTTTTACTTGAAAAGCAGTTAGAGAGAGAGAGAGGAAGCCAGCAACCTGGAGCTTCTTCCTGGTTTCCTATGTGGGTACAAGAGCCCAAAAAACTTGGACCATCTCCACTTCCTTTTCCCAGGTTCAGAAGTCGAGCAGCCGGGACTCGAACCGGCGCCTGAATGGGATGCTGGCACTGCAGGCAGTGGCCTTACCCACTATGCCACAGCGCCAGCCACTGGAGCATTTATTGAGCACCTGTGTGCATTCCTGACCTTGCACCCCCCAGTGGTGAACCAACATTTATCCCTTAGGAGCTGACCTCTGAAATGTGGGCAGGTGTCCCTGGAGTGTCCCACAGGATCCTGGGACTAGAACAGCCAGCATCCAGTGAAGTGACCAAGGTGCAGTGGGTCCTTGGCACTGACTGCAGCAGGTGCTGTCCTGACCAGAGGAACATGCACACGGTGCCTATTTGGAGATACCTCGTATCACTTGACTTTTTTTTTTTTTTTTTGACAGGCAGAGTGAACAGTGAGAGAGAGAGAGACAGAGAGAAAGGTCTTCCTTTGCCATTGGTTCACCCTCCAATGGCCGCCGCAGCCGGCGCACCGCGCTGATCCGAAGGCAGGAGCCAGGTACTTCTCCTGATCTCCCATGGGGTGCAGGGCCCAAGCACCTGGGCCATCCTCCACTGCACTCCCTGGCCACAGCAGAGAGCTGGCCTGGAAGAGGGGCAACCGGGACAGAATCCGGTGCCCCGACCGGGACTAGAACCTGGTGTGCCGGCACCGCAAGGCGGAGGATTAGCCTAGTGAGCCGCGGTGCTGGCCTATGACTTTTGTACCTTTTTCTCCTCCTACCAGACTCTGAGCTGGAAGAAAAGGTTTAGCAAGCAGGGGCTGGCTCCAGCAGCACTGCCCCCATCCTTGCGATTTTTCCTTGCTCCTGACCCTCTCCCTCCCCCATGCCGGGGGTCAAGGGAGCCACAGCAGCTGGAGCCCTGCGGGAGGCTCAGGATGCCCATGCTGTGAGCTGCCCTCCATCAAGCTTCTGGAAAGCAGGGCTCACGTTGCCAGCTCTGCACGCGTGTGAACACACACACACACACACACACACACACCCCAGTGCAGAACCTGGGAAGCCGGGACCCCCTCCACAATGTGAGAAACCAGTGAATGACAAGACCTTAACCTGTGTGTTTGCAGAGCAGCAATGGACTGGCCTTGAAATTCGTTGCATTTTAGGCCAACTGGTGTAAGCTGTTAGCAATCAGAGGACCAGTTACCCCTGGAGGGGCCGCGGAGCCTGGAGACGGGGTCACGGGCAGGCTGTGCGTGCTGCTGCTGACATTGCATTTCCCAGTCTGCGTGCAGTGTACGTGAGAGAGGGCTGGCTGTATGGACATTCACAGGCCCAAAGCCTGCATAGACGCGTGCTTCTCGAGATGCAAAAAGAAATCAGGCACAGCCCATGGCTTTCAAAGATGTAGACTTTGCGTAGCAGCCGTTTTCTCGAAAGGAATGAAATCAGAATGCTTACATCAGCGACAAGGAACAAATGCCTCGAATTTTCTACCCTGCAGGTCTTTCACTTCTGTTGAAAAACAAAACAAATCACCCATTACCTAATCCCGGCCACCCCCTGTGCAATACATTTAAGGCGAAAAACTTCAAACAGAGCGGTGCTCTGGGCTCTGCTGTTTTCCATTCTGTACCGGCCCTGCCCCCACTGACACTTGTCGAATGACCTCACCTGATTTTTATATAGAAAATTGAGTCCATGTGGCGGTAGCTCCCTCCGGCCCCCGCCTCTCCACTTGAATGTGATCCTGGGAACCCGCTTCTTCCCCTCACTTCCCTCCGACTGTGGGGAGGCGAGTCCAGTCTCCTCTCCTCTCCGTGGCTGCCTGAGCGGCTGAGTTGGCGCTGACTCCAGCCCCTAGGAGACGGGCGCAGACCCTGGCAGCAACTGTGCAGGCTCTAGACCTGGCTCCAACCCAGGGAAAGAGTCAGACCTCTTCCTCATCCCTCGGAGGCATCGGCACGATTCTCCCCGGGGTCTCTGAGCTCGCCTTTTATTGATTCCATCATTTCCCTGCTTTCGGGACGGAGATGGGGTCCAGCTTTAAGTGGCATTTGGAAGTTTCGGTGTTCAATCTCTAGCAACTAATCTAAGTGAGTGCACTAAGATGCTTGGGTTTCCCCGAATACCTAGAGCCTTCTCAACTCACTCAGCTTGGCTCTTCAGTCTCAGGCTCAGGACCAGCCTTTTCTCTCTGTCCCTCACACGATCCAGGTAAAGCGTCCAGCAGAGAAGCACTGGGTGCCACCTGATCCCCCTCCCCTCCTAGGGACACCATGCCACCTAGACACCAGTGTCAGCTCCCTCTGTGACACATTTGCCTAACATTCCTGGTGGAAGGATCCATTCTGGTCGGCACATGGTAAGGGAGCCTCTGCCCCAGAGCTGCCCCTATCCCCCGGAGCATCTATGGGAGTCCTGTGGGCACTTAACCTGGGGAGTGGCGCGAGCACCTGTTCCTGTGCCTGGGCCCCTCGTTCAGGGCACAGCCTGCACAACCGCTCATGGGCCCCCTCTCCATTCTTTTGGAGATGTTTTGGGTAACTTTTAAACCTGTCTGCTTCCTCTATGTGTGACCATGTTAGTAAATATTTTTTTAGGGGCCAGTGCTGTGGTGTAGTGGGTAAAGCCGCTGCCTGCAGTGCTGGCATCCCATGTGGGTGCCAGTTCTAGTCCCGGCTGCTCCACTTCCAATCCAGCTCCAAGCTGTGGCCTGGAAAAGCAGTAGAAGATGGCCCGCGTCCTTGGGCCCCTGCACCCACGTGGGAGACCTGGAGGAAGCTCCTGGCTCCTGGCTTCAGATTGGTGCAGCTCCGACCATTGCAGTCAATTGGAGAGTGAACCAGAAGACAGAAGACCTCTCTCTCTCTCTCTCTGTCTCTCTGCTTTTCCTTCTCTCTGTGTGTAACTCTGACTTTCAAATAAATAAATAAATCTTTAAAAAAAAAACTTAAAAAAATAAAAAGTAAATATTTTAACTCATACTTCTGAGGATATTTCAACATTTCTAATATGCATTTCACAAATCTGTAAGGTTTATCCTATGCTTTATCTCTTTGAAGTATCTCATTTCCAGTTTTTACTGATTCTTTTTCCTTTTTAAAGATTTCTTTATTTGAAAAGCAGAGTGACAGAGAGAGAGAGAGAGAGAAAGGTCTTCCACCTGCTGGTTTACTTCCCAGATGGCTGCAATGGCTCGGGCTAAGATAGAACCAAGAACTCCATCCGGTCTCCTACATGGGTGCAGGGGCCCAAGCACTTGGGCAATTTTCTGCATTACCAGGGAGCTGGACTGGAAGTTTGCAGCCAGGACTGGAACTGGCATTCAGATGTGGGATGCCGGTGTCGCAGCGGGTGGCTTATCCCACTGTGCCACAACGCCGGCCCCTTTACTGATTGTCTGGAGCTTGGTACGCCATGGGGAATTAATACACAGACTGCCGACATGCAGAAGGCTTCTACGAAGTCAGTGAGTCCTGCCCAGCTGGTTAGAATGAAGAGGCAAGGATTATAACTTAGTTCTCTCTGCTCCTTCACACTTCATTCTTAAATAAAAGGATTACGGATCACGAGACACTAATTAATACAGCCAACATTAGTTGCCTGGATTTTAAACATTGCTTTTGTGTTTTTTTTTTTTTTTCTCTTCTTTTTTCTTTCTGAAGCCCAGGCCTTGCAAGGCTAAGATTATTGAAAAGGTTGCTCGTGATATAATCCAAGCCTTGGAAGAAGGCAGACAGTCGGCAGGATAATAAAATACAGGAGATATGCAAGCAACACAAGGGATCTCATGCATTTCAGATAATCCACCTGGAGACCAGATGACCGTAACGGCCTCTTTCCGTCCCACCAGCAGCGTCTGAGGCTGTGTCTACCCCATCTCCAGCCATGGTCTGGGCGAAATAGGGAAATCCACTCCCAAAGCCTAATCCTGACAAATCCTCCTAAGCCTGCAATGCACACCCAAGGCCATGGCCACAGGTGGTTGTTTCAAGGAGAAGATGAGGGGCAAAAGGATGAGGAGCAGGAGGAAGAGAGCCAAGAGGAACTGTTCTGCTGAGCAGGGTTCTTGGGGACTCCAGACAAACATGGAGGAGACCCCGAAAAGACAGATAAGCCTGAGCCCTAGGGATAAGGTGTTCTACCCATCAATGGTCCAGGGGGTGACCTGGGTAGATTAGTGCCCCCACCCCCTTTCACCCCAAAGAGACCAAAGGATGAAGGATGAAGTTATGTATGGACCCGAGGAGGTTTTCACTGAAACAAGGCAGGTGCACACGGATCCCCGTGTCTTCCCAAAGCCACGTGGAAGGACATGAAGGGAACAAGAAAGAGAATGAGAATAGATGACAGACAGGAGGTGACAACAAATGTGGGGAGTGGACGGGGATTGAAGGAACGGGACTAAGCTGAGCTGTGAGAGCAAAGACCTGGCTGCCCGCAGGGAAGAGAACCCGGCCAGAAGAAACTGCCTCGCCCAAGCCCAGGGAGGTGCAGGGTTGAGGCGCAGGCACCTGCAGAGGGAGCGGATAGGCGGAGTTACACAGGGCAAGGCTGCGAGCAGGAGTGGTGTAGAGCCTGGAAAAGGAACACAGGGGCCCCAGATGCCCAGCTCACCCCCAAGCAAGGGAATGACCCTCCCCTCCCCATCTCAGCTGAAGACCGGAAGGCTTCTTCTATAAGGAGGCTGAACCAGAGAAACGTCGGGTTTCCTGCTGCTCTTACCGCCTCGCCTCTGTTCTGAGGGTTCTGGCTGCAGGGCCCTTCTGCAGGGGAAGGCATGGAGCTGGGGTTATTTGGGGTGTTTGGCGGCACGAGAGGAGGGTTAGAGTTCTTTTGGAACGCTTGGGGTTGAATCAGTCACAGTTGCTGTAAGACAAAGTAAATAAAAGTAAGGCAATCATTTTAAATGGTATAACAAGGGAAATTAAATCATACTACAACACACGTTTTAAATGTGAATGATGTTTGCACAATCATAATAATGACAATGCAAATAGGTACATTCATTTAACAAAAAACTGTGATACCATAGTGGGAAGAGAGAATGTGTAGTGGTTCAGAAAAAAGATTTTTTTCTAAGATTTATTTGTTTACTTGAAAGTCAGAGTTACACAGAGAGAGGAGAGGGAGAGAGAGAGAGAGAGGTCTTCCATCTGCTGGTTCACTCCCCAATTGGCCGCAACAGCCGGCGCTGCACCAATCTGAAGCCAGTAGCCAGGAGCTTCTTCCGGGTCTCCCACGCAGGTGCAAGGACCCAAAGACTTGGGCCATCTTCCACTGCATTCCCAGGCAATAGCAGAGAGCTGGATGGGAAGTGGAGCAGCCGTGGCTTTACCCACTACGCCACAGCGCCAGCCCCAGAAAATAAGATTTCCAACATAGGGAGTCAATGGGTGACTTCTATGATTTTCAAGTCATAAGTGGAAGGAGGTTTCTAGAAGTTTGTGGGGAAATGTTTCTCTTTTAATCCCATTTCCCACAAGCATTTAGAAGCCCCTTGTAGTCATACAAGCATGGTGGGCAGAAATATCAAGGTTTACAAAGAGAAGGAGGTTGGAGTCTGGCCTAATGGTTAAGACCCCAGTTGGGACACCCACACCCCACATCAGAGGGCCTGGGTTCCAGTCCCGGATCTGCTTATGATACCAGCTCCCTGCTGCAAGGTGCCTTGGGAGACAGCAGGTGATGGCTCAAGTGAGTTCTCAGCTCCTGGCATTTGGGGAGTGAACCAGCAGATGGGATCTCTCTCTCCTCTCTCCTCTCTCTCTCTCTCTCTCTCTCTCTCTCTCTCTGTGTGTGTGTGTGAGTGCGTGTATGCACTCACCTGTGTGTGTCCTATTCTCTCTGTCTCTTTCTGCCTCTTAAATAAACAACTTTAAAAAATATTGATTTCTTTATTTGAAAGTCAGAGTTACAGAGAGAGAGGGAGAGATGGGGAGGGGGAAGAGAGAGAGAGAGGAGAGAGAGAGCGAGAGCGAGAGCGAGAGAGAGAGAGAGAGAGAGAAAGAGAGATCTTCTATCTGGTGGCTCACTCCCCAGATGGCTGCAATGACCAGGGCCAAGCCAGGTCAATGCTAGGAGCCAGGAGCTTCTCCCTGGTCTCCCATGTGGGCCCACGCACTTGCACCATCTTCCACTGCTTTTCTCAGGTGCATGAGCAGGGGGCTGGATCAGAATTGGAGCAGCTGGAATGCAAACCAGCACCCATATAGGGTGCTGGCATTACAGGCAGCGGCTTTATCTGCTATGCCACAATGCCAGCCAAATACATAACTTTTAAAAGGAACAACTTAAGAAAAAAATTATTTTTGGCAAAAGAGAGAAGGAAGAAGCTAAAATACTTCAAAGCACTGCTTCTGGGCTGCAGAGATTGAGGTCAGATCATCTGACTTCTTACATTATGCGTGGATATCGCTTCCATGAGAATTAACCGCACTTTTAAAGGGAGTGTGTTGACATTCTTAGGAATTAAGCGTGTGTGTGCACATGCGTGCTGTTCCGGGCTGGGAGGAGTCAGGCCACCCCTTTGCTTCTCATAATCACCAGCAGATGTGTGGCTTTCTCCAGGGCATGAGGCAGGGATGGGAAGATCACAGCATGTGACGAGCCAGGCAGCTGACCGGTGACTGATTTGACTTGCTAGCTGTACACTCTTTCCCTCCAATGTCAAGGTCACAGCCACCTGGGGCTGTGGGAGTGTGATGTGGGTTCTTACTGTGCGCATCTGAATTCCATAAAACGGAGCCCGAGGTACCTATCTCGGCAGCTAAGCAGGAGTATTTTCGGGGGTAAACACAGCCCCAGCACAAATGGTCGCTTGGAAAGGGGAAAGATTGTGCAGACAGCAACGCCATTCTCCACTGCCCTCCTTGGGCCACAGCAGAGAGCTGGACTGGAAGAGGAGCAACCGGGACAGAACCGGCGCCTATATGGGATGCCGGCACCACAGGCAGAGGATTAACCAAGTGAGCATGGCACCGGCCCTCTACACGAATTTTTTAAAGATATTCCACTAAGCATAAAATGCTAGGTTGGGCCGGCGCCGTGGCTCAATAGGCTAATCCTCCGCCTGCGGTGCCGGCACACCAGGTTCTAGTCCCGGTCGGGGCGCCGGATTCTGTCCCAGTTGCCCCTCTTCCAGGCCAGCTCTCTGCTGTGGCCAGGGAGTGCAGTGGAGGATGGCCCAAGTGCTTGGGCCCTGCACCCCATGGGAGACCAGGAAAAGCACCTGGCTCCTGCCTTCGGGTCAGCGCGGTGTGCCGGCCGCAGCACACCGGCCGCAGTGGCCATTGGAGGGTGAACCAACGGCAAAGGAAGACCTTTCTCTCTGTCTCTCTCTCTCACTGTCCACTCTGCCTGTCAAAAAAAAAAAAAAAATGCTAGGTTAACAGACAGCTTTTGGCACTTTAAAGACATCATTCAATTTCCTTCTGGTTTGCGTATTCCGTGACCAGTAGTCGACAGTCATTCCTCCCTGTGTGGGTGATGTCCCTTTCATTTCTGCCAGTCTCTCGAACCTTTTTCCCTTTATTGCTCATTTTTCAAGCAATTCAACTTTGGTGCTGCTCACTGTGGTTTGCTTTGTTCCTGCTTCAGGTTTGCTGGGTATTTAATTTAAAAGGCATTTAATTAGACAAAAGACATTCGATCCTCACTGATCCAGAGGCTGGATCCAAGATCCAAGATCTAGATGCCTATGGATGAGGTGTCCGGTGACCGTCCTACTTCTTGCTTACAGGGCCTGAGAGAGAGAGGGAGAGGGAGGGGGGAGGGGGAGGGAGAGGGGGAGAGGGAGAGAGAGAGAAGAAGAAGGAGGAGGAGGAGAGAGAGAGGGAGGGAGGGAGAGAGGGAGGGAGGGAGGCAGGCAGGGAGGGGGGGAGAGAGAGGGAGGGAGAGAGGGAGAGGGAGAGGGTCAGAGAGAGAGAGAGAGAGAAGAAGAAGGAGGAGGGGGGAGAGGGAGGGAGGTGGGGGAGAGAGAGAGAGGGAGAGAAGGGGGAGAAAGAGAGGAAGGGAGAGAGGGAGGGAGAGAGAGAGGGAGAGAGGAAGGGGGGAGAGGGGGAGAGAGAGAGAGAACATGGGCCTCTCTCTCTCTACTTCCAAGGGCACTAATCCCACCCTGAAGGCCCTGCCCTCCTGATCTTGTCTAAATATAATTACCTCCCAAATGCCCCAACTCTAACAGGGAAGAAAGTGCGTGTAGAAGACACCAAGGGGAGGTACCCAGCACACTGGGTGACAACCCATGTTCACAAGGACCAATCCAGTCGCACCAGAGCAGGAGCTCAGCCCCTGGGAAAGGCACTAATCCCTCCTACAGGCCCCAACACCTCTCAACACTGCTCCATTGAGCACCGAGCTTTGGTGGGGACAACCCATATCCATACCACAGGGAGAGAGCAGTAAGAATATTTGAAGCAGTAATTTGAAACAGTAATGGCCGGTTTTCCAAATCTATTGAAATATATAACCCACGTTATCCAAGCAGCTCTGTGTTACGGACAGAATGTGTCCCCTGAAATTTGTGCGTTGAAGTCCTCACCTCCGTAACTCAGAATGCGACTCTGCAGGGGTGCTTAGGTCTGGGAAGCGGCATCTTGCCCCGTGGATAAGACGCTCGTTGAGACGCTGCGTTCCATGTTGAAGAGCCCGAGTCCGAGTCCCAGCTCCACTCCAGACCCCGGCTTCCTGCCGGTGCACACCCTGGCAGGCAGCAGCTGATGCTCCAAGTAGCTGGGCCCCTGCCACCCACATAGGAGACCTGGACTGAGCTCCCAGTCATGGCCTTAGGGATGTGGCAGGCATGTGGGAAATGAATAGGCAAATGGGATCTCTCCCTCTCCCCCTTCTCTCTTCCTTCTGACCCTCAAGCAAATTAAATAAATACATATATTTTTTTAAGTTTGTAGAAAACTTGCATTGAACAATCAGTTTACTTCGGTGCAAAAGCTTTTTGAAATCTGGCATACTTTTCTGAAAAGACACATTTCCACGAACTTTTTGGAGACCCCCTCTTACTGGAGCTGCAGCGTTTAAGGAATTTTGTTGGCTGTTGACCACATTGTGAGCTTCCTCCTAATGAAGACAGCGCTGTCCCAGCAAGCTCAAGCTCTCCAAGAGGGACAACTTAACAAAGATTTTATTAAAGAAACACTCCCCCGAGAGGAGGTCTGCTCCCCATTCTGCACTTGTCCCACATCTCTTAGAAATGAATCAGACCCCAGAGCCGGAAGTGCTGCAGTGACCGAATTGTCTTTCTTCACGTTCCGTGGCCGGGATGCCCATCAGAATTCCTGCAGTGGCACAAGCCGGCAGGGGCCTCGTTAACTCGGATGGGAGGGGGAGGATTGAGACAGACCCGCTTGGCTGGTCGGGGAAAAGCCACTCTGTTAGCAACAACCACCAGCTTCCAAAGACAACACCAGGCATCTCCCCGTCCACATCGTGGTACCCAGTACAACTCCTTCCACGTAAGCCCTCTCAAGCTCTCCTGCGCCAGGTAGGTGGTGGCGTCTCGGTTTTGTCTCTGCTGGTCACACACCCGGTGGAAAGCTAATTAGATGGAAGAGAATACTCATTTCCTCCTTTAGTTGTGTGTCCCTCCCCTACAGGAGCTAAGGAATAATCTGAAGAATGGAGAGTGAAATTGTTCAGTTCTAGACAGAAGCAGGGCATGTGCAAAGGGCCTGAGACAGGACAGGGTATAGACAAGAAAGGCCATCAGGGCACTGGATCACAGATTTGGAGGAAGCTTGGTATGAAATAAGTCTGGAGCAGCCGCTGAAGCCAGAACATGCAGAACCAATAGGACCTGCTAAAAATCTGGGTGTGAATCCTAAATATTATATAAGAAATGATTGAAGAGGGGGCCAGCACTGTGGTGCAGCAGGTTAAAGCCCCAGCCTGTGGTGCTGGCATCCCACATGGGAGCCGGTTCAAGTCCCTGCTGCTCCACTTCCAATCCAGCTCCCTGCTAATGCTCCTGGGAAAGCAGCAGAGGGTGGCCCAAGTGCTTGAGCCTCTGCACCATGTGGGAGACCTGGAAGAATCTCCTGGCTCCTGACTTCAGATCAGCCCAGCCCTGGCCATTGTGGCCATTTGGGCATTGAACCAGCAGATGGAAGACCTCTCTGTAACTCTGTCTTTCAAATAAATAAAATAATTTTTTTAAAAAAATGATTGACAAGGGGAGAAGCCACGAGCAGAGGAGTAGCTTGGTTATATGGCTGCATCTATGGAGGGACACCAGGCTGCAAAGCCACTGGGAAAGTGCCAGCATGGGGCAGCAGCTCAGGTGTGAACACTGGTGCTTGGGCCAGGGTGGTTCTGGGAGGCAGGGAGAAGACAACGGCTCGGGAGACAGCCTCAGGAGTAAG